TTTATTTGGCTACATTGAATTCTAAAGCCCACGTTAATTACTCCTTTGGTACTGAGCAAGCAAGCTGCCATGTGAGCTGACCTTTTGGAGGGGCCACATGGCAAGCAACTGAGGGTGGTCTCTAGCCAACAGTCGTCAAGAAACAGGCCCTTCCTCTTAATAGTCTACAAGGAACTCACTGCTGCCAACAAACATGTGATTTTGGAAGTGAATCCTCCTCTAGTCGAGCCCCGGGTGAGGTCAGTTAATGCCTTGATTACATCCTTAAACCATGAAGTAGAGGACCCAACTAAGCCGTGTGTGGACTCCTGACTCATACAACCTGTGAGATAATTTGTGAAAATATTGTTATACAAGATGGGGATTTAGCTCAGTGTTTCTGCCGCCTGCCTCGAAAGCACAAGGTCCTGATATATATATAGATAGATATATACACACACACATATATATATACATATATACACATATATACACACACATATATAAAAATATGTAGTTATACAGCAATACAAAACTAATATACTAGGCTTCAGATTTTTTTTTTTTTTTTTGAGACAGGGTCTCCCTATGTAGTTCAGGCTGGCCTTAAACTCATTATGTAGCCCTGACTGGTCTTGAACTCACACAATCCTCCTGCCTCTGCCTCCTGAGTGCTGGGATTACAGGCATGCACCACCATGCCCAGCTCAAAATCTTAACAGTTTTGCAAAAACATTGTAGATTATAGAATGGAATGTAACCACACAAAGAGATGGGTGAAAACCAACAGAAACATCCATCTGAACAGATCAGCAGGGTCTCTAGATACTGGACTTTTCAAAGAAAAGGAGGATTTTTGTAAAGACTTGAAATTATATTTTTAAAAAAATGAAACGGTAGAACTGAAAACTACCATGGACTGAAACTAAGATTTTTTTTTTTGAAACATCTTAATGGACAGATTTATCAGAACAGTCATAGCTAAAGAAAAAAGTAGGGAATGAACACAAGTAGAAGAAAATATCCAGAATGATGCAGAGAAGGACAAAAGAATAAAGAAAAGTTGAGACATGGAAGATACAGTAAGAAGCTGTTACAGGAAATTTGCATCCCAGGGGAGATAATAGAAAATGAAACATAAGTGATAGTTTATGAGATAATTGTAAAACTTTACAAAAATTGATGAATGCATCAAACTACAGATTGAAGAGCCTTACAAACTGGGAAAGGTGGCACATCTGTAAATGACATAGGCCCAGGCATGAGGATGGTGTGAGCCCTGGAGTTTGTGGCCAGTTTAGGCAACCTAGCTGGAAAGATGAGAGACTGAGGGAGGAGGAGGAGGAGCAAGGATCATAATGAGCCCAAACAAGGTAAATAAAATGAAAACCAGGGCTGGCGGGTGTAGTTCAGTGGTAAAGCACATGCCCAGCACAGTGAGCCCTAGGTTCAATCTCCAGCACTGAAAAAGAGCACCTGAAATCCATATTGTTTTCACCTGTCTCTGTCTTATGACAACATTTGTGATTGTATTTAGGCCCACCTAGACAATCCAAAATGATAGGAAAAATAATAATTCTAAGATGTCCTGAATTTATTTCTTCTTTTTGCAGGGAGGCGTGGGTACTGGGGATCAAACTCAGGACCTTGTGCTTTTGAGGCACGTGGCAGCACCACTGAGCTAAATCCCAGGCCCCTAAGATGTCCTGAATTTAATTACAGGATCCTGGGATGGAGGGGAGAGAGAAATGGGGAGGTTAGTAAGTTAACAACTACCAACTAAAAGCAAAAGACTTTCACATTCTTGAGTGTATGTTAAAATCCTAAAGCCCTTCATGACCTCCTGTGTGCCATTGCATCCTACTTAAAACCACCATCATTCCACAAGCAATAATTACTTTTTACGAACTCTCCTCCTATCTCAAAGCTTTCCCTACTTTGTGTTACCCTATCCCTTTTATCTATAGCCAAGGCAGTTTAAATGTAAACAGCTTATGATTTCCCTCAAAAAATTTTTTTTGAGACAGGGTATCATTATGTAGTCCAGGCTGGCCTTGAAATCACTCCATAGCTCAGGCTGGCTTAAACTTGTGAGTATCCTGTTGCCTCAGCCTCCCACATGCTGGGATTACAGGCATATCCCACACCTGGCTCAGATTTTTGTTATAAAAATCTTAGCCATAGGTTTAGCACACAAACTTTTCTAATACTATCTAGCATGGCTGCTGAAAGTTATGGGAATTTTTCCCACGACCTGATCCTTTTTCTGGCTAGCATCAGAAACAGCTCAGTAAAGCCTTTTAGTTCAGCGATCACTTAATCCCAAGAGTTTTGGTTTAACAAGGATAATCTCTCCATTTTAAGATTCTTAGTCACATCCACAAGGCCCCATTTTCTTGCAGTGTGGATTTACAAGTTCCAGGGGTTAGGACCTGATATCTTTGGGGATATTATTCGGCCTAGTATAAGGTAGTAAAGCATTTGGCACACATTGAATAGTAATCAAAATATTTAATAACCACCACAGGCTCCAACCAGTAAAATCAGAAAGAGCAACCAGTAAGCACAGACGGCTGATATAAACACCCGTAACAGAGGCTGCCTCTGGAAAGCAACTCAGCACTTGCTGTAGCCAGCACCTCATGGGCAGACAATACAATGAATAAGTGCTACTTCACTGGGGCCCAACTTGGCCATCTCTGTTTCCTCTTTTTAAATGCCAGGGCATTTCTTTGCCCATTTATCTGTAGGGTCTTATACAGTATTCTGTTATCTATTTAAATACTTTATATGTGGAAGATGCTAACTGCCATATTTGTAACAAAGTTGAAATTTACTCCTTTCCTTCTGAAGCTTAGGTAACTTTATGCGATAAACTGAAATAGATATCAGAGGAAAGAGAACAAATTGTATTACATAGGTAAAGCATGGACGGGAGCGTGAGACTCAGAGCCAAATGACAGAACCTTACAGAGATCCTGACAAGGGAATGAACGGGAGCTTGGATGTTTGGTTTTTTTAAAGACAGGATCGTGCTGTGTAGTTCAGGCTGGCCTCAAACTCTTTGATTGTCCTGCCTCAGCATCCTGAGTGTTGGGATCATAAACTTCCACCATCATGCCTGGTTAGGATCTTGGGCTTCTAAGAGGAATGCAGGTGGTGCAGGCTGCGGCATGGAGGCGATGTGTACGGTGAGCGAGGGTTGTCTGCTGTGCAGGTGAGGTCTCCTCTGTGGTGCTCTCTATCTCGGCCAGGTGTCAGGCCCTCAACCCCTTCTTCCCATGGAGAGACCCTTCCTAGGCAGAAGGGGCAGGATGTCATCAGCTAGGAAAAGCCTCTGTACCCTCTGTTGACTTTATTAGTGTAGACAGATGTGAATTCCTTTGGTGGGGCAGCTTTTCAGAGCTGTCCGGGTCTGCAGAACTCTGGTTTTTCTGAATAACCAATTCAAAACATGCCAAAAAAATATATTTGGGGTGGGATATTTTACTCTCTCACGGGATTACATTGTGTTAATCTTTTCTAAATTTTATGCTTGAATATTTCTAGATAATCTGGTCTTAATCTTTATTTTGAAATAAT